AAAATGAACATTCCTACCTAGATAATCCAGAGCGGCTGCCCCGGTCGCGCAATCGAGCAGGGTCTTGGTATTAATCAGACGCTTCTTAGTACGCACATTCCCCTGCGCGTCGAGGATATACCGACCGTCAGGCGTCACCAGCTTCGACGGAGGGAGAGACCGCACAAAGGCAACTATTTTCAAATAGGCGGCCATGTCTTTCTCCTCGAGGGTCCCCGCCCGGACGATATACCTATCCGTTCCTCGGTTGAAATGCTCCACAGTCCACAGTAGATGTATCTTAGGAAGCCACGCGAGGAACCGCTGGCCATCTACCGTTCGCTCGCCCTCGTCGAAGAGAGTATCCGAGCCCTGTTGCGTGATCGGTTTGACGAGGAAGAACCGGCTTTTGAAATCCTTGACGGAGTCACTATACGCTTTGAAAAGTTTGGTCGATTGCTTAAAAGAAACCCATCCGTGGCGGCCATTCACCGTCTGCCGCTGTAAGTGGAAGATGCGGAAAAACAACGGTACCGTCGGCTCCACCGAGAGGTAGAAGCACACCACCTCGAAAGCGCGGATGAAAGCCAAGGCGTTGGGGTGCAGTTGGTACGGGGCCAGGCGCAACCAATCAAAGAGCCCCAGATGAAAGGCGGAGAACGGTAACCGGAGCCGAGCTTCTTTAAAGTAGAACTCATGCATCGGGAACATCCGCCGCCCATATCGCGAGCAGATACGATGATGCTCTTTTGGTCGGTACACCTGCCAATGCTGTGGCTCCCCTATAGGCGTATCCTCGACGGTGGCGTACACGTCGGACGCATCGGCCACAAAACAAGACGGGGTAGAAAGCGGCTCCTCGGCCGCCCATTCCTCGGACGGGGCAATGCGCTCGTCGTCAAAGTCCGGGACCTCGGGTTCGTTGTCTTCGACCATTATCCCCGGTACCAAAGCCGACATCTACACCTGAAAAGCAGAGGACAACGGTGAATTCGATAGCCAGGATCAAATCCACCCTTCCACCGCAGGTCAAGTGAAAGGGCGACAAAGGCCGGAAAACGACGAGCAAGCACTCGCTCCCCGTCTACCCTCCTCGGGGCATCTAAAGCCGACCCGCCATCCCTCCTCAGGACGATCACCATAAAAGGCGCGCCTCCCCAGGACATTCACCGGAAAAGGCACGCGTCCCCGGGGCATTCATCAGAGAAAGCCCTCATCCTCGGGACATTCATCAGAATCAGCCGATTCTCCCCGGGACGCTCATCAGAAAGTTTGCCAGATACGGCGGGTCTCGCGTCCCTCCTCGGGGCATTCATCACGCCCCGACCACACGTTCCAATTAAACAACGGAAATAAAAGAGGAGAGAAATGAGAACTCACTTGTAACGGCGGCGAACGGAGGAAAGGATCGAACGATGCGGCGGCGATCGACGGCAAGCGGCGGACGAGCAGTGATGACAGAGCTTCGCAGACACAACAACAGATTGAAAAGTAATAAAATGAGCGGGGACCTCCGTATTTATAACTCGGCGCGGGATTCGAAGCGACGCTAGGCTCATTAATGACATAGGGTAGCCGCCCCTACGACCGCTAAACACACGACACGTGGCGGCAGCCTGACAGTCGCGCCCCTTCGTCTACTTTCACCCCGTCGTCCCCGACCCGTGGGTAGCCGTCCCGTCGTGCGCGAATCCCGACGAACCTCCCGCTCTGTTACCTTTCCCCGGGCACAGCGACCTTAAGTCCTCGCTCTCCCCCATAGCTTCGACTTGGGGGGCTCCTGTTCCGGTCTGGGCCCGACATCGGTAGGCCCAATACCACGCACGGCCCAACAGGTGAACCGGGCACGCCGGGCACGTGCGTCCCGCGAGACGAGCAGAGCATGCCGCCGGACACAAGCAGCGCATCCAACAGCTGCTCGTCGTCCTTCTTGCCAGCCGAACAGAACCGACCCCGGCGCACTAAAGCGCGACCCTTAGTTCCTCCCCTCCGCGGGGAGAACAACGCGCTCCGGGGGACCTCCCGAACTCCCCTCCGCGGGGAGAACAACGTTCCCGGCGAACGTTCTCCACGTGCTCCCCTCCGCGGGGACACGTCATCTCCCAACTACCCACCCCCGAAAGAGCAGGTCAAACCCACTTTCCGGAGATCACGGGACAATTGGACTAGGGCGAAGACCACGTTCTGGCCTTCACTACGCCACGTAAGCCCTAGCAGTCATTAGGGTTGGGCCTGGTCATCCAGCCCACCTCAAATGACCGTTGGCCCAGCGCTGGGGTCTCTCTATAAATACCCTCTTCCTCAAGAGGGTCAGGTAATTCACATCTTGCCCTTTCTGTACTTTTGCTCCCACTCTGCCCAGTTCCTTACTTTGGCATCAGAGTGTCTTGCAGGTACACCCCCCTTCTCCTCCTCATCACCGGTGAATAGGCAGCAACCCAACAGAGTGTGGCCAGTCCGTGATCCCCTCCTGATCGGGTCAGATCAAATAACAATATAAAAAATAACATGTGAAAAGGAGAAATAAAAATAAAAATTAATTTTTTACATTTAAAACTAAAAAATTTATCTCTCAAATAAAAATAGATATTAATAAAAAAAAAAATATGTTATATAATGATAGTGACTCGTGCAATAAAAAAATTTATTATCATATATTTATGTTTATCTTAACCATCATGATGTTGTTTATTTATAGTATTTTTGAATAGTCACAAAATAAATTTTCTAAAATTTACTTTCCTTTAAGATTTGAAAAAATAATATTTAAAAAAAATGTTTCTTAAAGAATTTTGTAACTTAACATTTATTATATATATAATTATATAATAAATATTTATTAAAGCGAATTATATGTTCATCAATGATAAATAATCATTTTTAATTAAGTAGTTAATAAAGATAATTTTTAAAATAATTGATCAATAAAATAAAAAGTTACGTTTAATTTTTAAAAACAATATTGAAAAACATTTTTTTAATATATCATTTGCTTGCAACTTATTAAGGTTGATGAAGTCAATGGTTCTTTAAACCATTGATATGTCCATTAATAAAAGGATAGACAATAAGAACAAAAGTATATCCTTTGTTTCTATTCCTGATTTATAGGCAGTGAGAAATGAGTATACTATCATACTTGAAAGATCCATTACTTAAACTGCTGGGAACATCTTGAAGTCAAACCACTATATTGTTGTAGCTTAAATTTGCTAGCATCACCAGGGCAGAATGTGGTAGGTTTCTGACGGATTCCTCATGGTGAATTTCAATTATATAAATAGGAATGAAAACTACACTTCTCTAGTTTCTATCTTTTCATGGAAGACTTACATGAATGAAGTATTATATAGAACCTCATTATAAACAACTTTTTCATGGAAGACTTATTTGGTGTCTTGTTGTTCAGCGACTCGAAGAGACTGATAACTTATGCAGAATCACCGTTGCGAGCATACCCAGATATCATTGCATTCCAGCTTACCAGATTCCTATCGAAAAACACATTGAATATTTAACTCATCCATCTGCAAGTTTCTCAACTGAATTTTACCAAACATATCCAAAGCTTTAGAAACTCAATTTATCAGCCAATTGGCAGTTTGACACCATTTGATCTTGTTAATTTTCTCTTCTATTTTCAAACTCTTAAGATAGTCAAACTGAAACAACAATCATCGTGTTATAAACATCGAAACTTCCAAGCCAATGATAGTTTTGGCTGCATTAACTGGTGTCTGGTGACGAAAAATTACCTCGGGCTCGTGACTCTGAAACTCGGTTTTATAGCGGAACTCAGGATGCCGGCTATTAGAATAGTCGGTACTCTCCAAATCCTATCTTGATCCATGCTGCTAAATTACATTGTAAATACACAGATATTAGCAATACCAAGTTGATTACAAGGAATTATTCAAAACTAAGTTGATATGTTTTGCTTAGAAATGAAAAAATCAGACTTACATATTTTGAATTTGTCCGTTCAAAGAGAACTACTCGACCACCGCGGTCACCGGTAGCAAGATGATCACCAGACTTGTCAAATTCAATAGCAGAAATCATGTCCACTGTAGAAACAAAGTTGAATCGATAATTAGGAAACTAATCCAGATAGGTCAATCACTCTGGACTGGAAGAATTTATCAGTCGGTTAATGGTGTTTATAGGCAGAACATAAATACCCACCAACAAAAAAACCTACTGAATGCATATACTCTCTACTTCCTTAAACAAAAGTGCTCATGTATAAGTTATTTTATAAGGAAAGATAAAGTCAAACGATTTTTCGTATATGCTGGAAAAAAACTTATGTAAATGGCAGAAGTTGTTTCTACAAGTTTTAACAAAAAGTCTCAGTAGTGTTTATGTCAGAAAGTAGATAAATTCAAATAAGCTAAAAAAAGGAAGACTATCAGTAGCCAATAAACTTGTTGCTTAATTGAATATCAGGGCGTATATCCGGATACACACCTTGTAAGTTAATTTTCTATTATTAAATTATCTTTTTTTTTAATTTTATTATTATTTAATGTGAGTTACTTTTCAATTATATTATTATTTTATGCAAACAACGGTGCATTGCATTACTACGTTTGACAACATAGCCAACTCCAATTAGTATAAAACTACACTTTTTATTTGCCACACTGAAACAACTTGTGAGAAATCAACTGTTAAATTTGGTCTTAGAATTTAACTACGCTACCACCTAACAGAAAAAGCCATCCATTGCAAATAGATTTTCAAATTAAAGTTTTTAATGACACCATTAAAAATACAATACACACCTTATTGCCAAAGGATTCAATCAAATAGAAGGAATAAACATATTCAATCATGTTATAAAAATGATAACCATCAAATTTCTTGACTTTTTTATTACTAAAACATTGATTATCAATTAAATTAAAAAATATATGACATTAAAAATGTTTTATAAATATATTTATAAATTTTTTTAGATAAAATAAAGCGTATCTGAGTCTAGCTACTCTCTCTTTCAAAGCACACTACACAGCAAAATGAGTCGTAAGAGAGACAGCCCCTACTTTTCCCGCCACGACTTCAAGCGCCGCCGTCCACTGCCGGAGCCAGCGGAGGAAGAAAGACCCACCACCAGGCCGACGCCTCCTTCTGCTGTAGTCGTCATGGGTCTCCCTCTTGACTGCTCCGTCCTCGATCTCAAGTCTCGATTTGAGATCTACGGCTCCATCTCCCGTATCCGTATCGACCGTGACACCGTCGGCTACATAACCTACCGGAATAAAGACTCAGCGGAAGCCGCCATCGCCGCTGGCCACGATCCTTCCTTTGGCGTCACCGTCAATTCCAAAAAGGTACTTTTTTTTGTTCCATTTTCACTCCGGGTTTCAAAATTTGCTTTTGAAACGATGCAGTTTCGATGTTCAAAGTTAAAATTCCATATTTTTCGTAATTTGAAGTTTCGTTGTTCAACACTATCGACAGATTTTCAGCTCAATTTAAGGGTATAGTAATTTTTTTTTGAAGCTTTGTAGAATTTAAGACAATAACAATAAAGCTTGAAATAGAACATAGTAAATTACTTTTTTTAACCTAGAAATTTCAAATTTTGGTTAAAGTTTGAAATTTTAATAAGTTAGAGACAACGATGTGGTAATGCTTGAATTAAACTGAGGAACTCTGTTTTTCTGGCAATGCTGAAAAACTGGGTAAACTCGGGTCATGGTTCAACTGAGATAAAATCTAAGTTTTGACAAAACCAGGGTCAAACTGCTCAAATAACCAAACAGACAAAAGTAGACACATATCACAATTCAATAGGTTGAACCATCTAATTTTGTTTGGTATTCAAAACTCCGTTTATTAGGATTTTTAACTTGTGGTAGGCGTAACAACATATGTTGCACGAGTCTCTGGAGTCTTTGTAAAAAATTCACTGCTGGTACTAGTAAGTCAAAAGTGTTGAATGCAAAATCTTTGAGTTGGCAATATAACATGTGAGTTTTCTATAATAGAGGCTGAACTACCTCCCAAATAGGCGACTCCTGCAATCAAATCCGAGTTCTTTTCCTAAAAGAGAGTCATGTTGCAAACTTTTCCAGCACCATGTTGGAGGGTGAATTGCATTTTTCTAATACTTTTAATCGGAAATATGAAAGAATGACATTGGTGTATATGTGTAACAGGTTCAGGTGTTGTGGGCAACGGATCCTCTAGCCATGTGGAGGGAAGGAGTAGGTAAGAACAAGGATAGTGTGTCTATGTCAAAGCTTGTGCGAGCTGACGTACCTTTGAGAAGACATGGAAGAAGTAATAAACTTGCTTCAACTATAGAGAATACCAAAAGTAATAACGATGGTTCTGGTAGCTCGGTTCTTGAAGTTCCTTCCAGAGGTAGAGAAATTGTTGCTTATGATGATATAATGTAATTCTGAAAGGGTTATCTTATTTTGGGTTTAGATCTTTGTAGTTTTTTCTTTTCTGCTCTCTTATTGTGTTTAGGAGGAAGATGCTCAACACACAAGCTTCTAGGATGTAACTTATAGAAGTTAATCATGTAATTTAGTTTGTGTTTTTTATGTCTACGTTATAGATGTAATGTTATAGATGTAATGTGGTAAATAGTTGGATTTTAAATTGTTAGATTTTCTTCGGTGTAATGAATCTTAATAAACCTTTCTATTCCTTCCTTCAATTTGCCTGATTCTAAGGTTTTGTCTCATGGCATTTTGCTTACAAGTTTGATTTGATTTAAGTGTTAAACAAGATTTATATATCATTTTTCTTTTTATTAAGGTTTGTAACAAACCTAACTAAAGGTAAGATAATTAAACTGTTATACTTGATTAATGAAGCAAATCATATTTCACAAAACAGTTTTAGAATAGTAGTTTTAGAATCAAACTGAAAATAAACTGAATTGAAATTGTAACCATATCGAAAATGAAACTACTTAAAACAAGTTTTATTTTTTATTTTTTAAAATTTTAAAAATAGTTTAGTGGTTTGGTTTTTTAATAAATGGTTTAACTTGAGAAATATTATTTTCTAATGGTTTCAATACGATTCAAAATATATAAACAGTATATTAAATTAGTAATTTTGATTTGGTTAAATTGAAACGTTTTAGGTCGAATAAACTTTTATTATAATTTAACTTGGTTTAATTTAGTTTTTTTAAATGAACTGTAACCTTACACCACCCAAATGAAAAAGTTATTTTAATTAATAGTTTTGTAGGTAACACGTGGATTAAAATATATAAAGATATAGACTGAAAACTATACTATGCGATTTGACTTTTTTTTTAGTTGTGATTATTATAAGTTATATAGTAATGATCAACGATCAACGATCAACGGTATTTACATGCATAAGAGTTTTTTTTTTTCTTTTTTTTTCAAGTATCTAGTTTGTATTTTTTAATAAAGGAGACCAAATTATATTGAAGTTGGAACCTATATCAGTCGTTATAAAATAAATAAGGAAAACCATAACTATATTGAAGGTGAAACCAACATCAAAATCATTACAAAATAAATAAGGAAAACCTTATTCAAGAACATAAACATAAATAGTAAAAGGAGTATCATAGTCATATTGTCCAGCCAAATGAGCACATATATTTGTCTCTTTTGGAGAGAAGCAAATCATATCATTTTTATTTTAGTGTTCCGGACTGTTACAAAGGTTAGACGTGACTCAATCCACTTATGCTTTTAAAACAGTTCAATTGTCTAAGTCCAATCTTTTTGGTGGAGAGTTTACATTTATGCCCCTCTAACAGGGGAGGCTAACCAATTTACCCTTGGTCACAACACCTCTCCCAGTCAGTCTCTGCCGTCACGCATTGTTCCACCATCCAAAAACAGTCAAGACGCTTGTGCCCGTAACTATACCTCTACCCGTCCTAACGGCTAGTTATGGGCATGTCTGCTCATCCCAACGGCTAGTTGTGGCAGTTATCTATTCTTCGGGAAACAGTTATCTCGCCCCAAAAATAGGGACCAATGACCAAGCGCTGGGGACAAGATAAAAACTCTCTCACTTTAGAGGGTCAGGTATCCAATATTGACCATGAAACACTCATATTTTGTATTTGCTCTCTCTCTTGCTCGTTTTCTTACTTTATCATCGGGGTGTCTTGCAAGTACACCCCCTCTTTCTCTTTCATACCCAGCATCACAGACACTTGTCTTTGGCCCATCGCAGGTTCTGATCGACAGGTAAGATCACTTAGTTATGAAGTAAATCTAAAATGTCATTATGAGATAGAACTATGGGCGCAATTTGTTTGGCCTTTATTGACCATATTGAGGAGGGAGTGAATCCGTGTAAAAAATAATGTCCTTGACATCAATATAACGTGTCAAATAAATACTTATTTAAAGGACCTAGACTTTATCAAAGAACAAATTACTTGAACTTATCTTGCAGGAAAAAAACTTTCACAAAGTTACAATTGTGATCTCTAAAGATAAATATGTATGTCGGCGCTGGTTGCAGTACATCGACAAAAGAAAATAAGTATTTATTTGTATCATCTCCGCAAGGAATGATGCGATATTAAAAATCATTCGATAATAATTATGATTTTAATCAGTGTTCGTAGAAAAGTTGTTTTGTTGTATCAACTAAATGAAAATAATAGTGAATGAAAATTAGGGTTTTAAAAGATGAGAAATATTGTTTTGGTTAGATTTCATCGTCTTATTCTTATGCATTGTACATGTTTTTTAAATGAATTATTGTGACTGCTATTTATAGAGGTCTACTAAGGTATTCTCACTTAGCGAGACCTTTAATTCTCCTAGTGAGCTTTCCTTTTGCATCAGAAGTTGACGTCCAACTCATTAAAGTGGGCTTTGTCGCCACAATGTCGCTCACTGAGGCCCTATTTTCGCCCATCGAGCCAGTCTTCCTTCACCTTAAAGTTATTTTACCTGGAAGAAAGCTCTAAATCTCCTTGCTTCGCCCAACAAGATTGTGATCTCGCCCAACTAGAATCCTTGTTTCACCATGAAGTAACATGACTTGGAAAAGATATTTCAAACCTTTGAAGCACCTTTGCTTGCCCCGCGAGCCAAACCTTCACTTAGCGAGGAGATCTCTGATTAGGTTTCTCTACTTATGGCTGAGAAAGCCTTTGCTTCATTTGGTGAGGAAATTACTAATTGGTTGTCTTGTCTTTTGGCTAAGCGAGTCATTATTTCACTCAGCGAATGTTTTTAATTTTGGCTAGGTGAGGCCTTATTTCTCCCAGCGGGCTTTCTGAGCTTTCTGCTACTCAGGTCTTGAGCTTTATAATTTCCTTGGTCTCTTTTCACCAGACTTATGAATAACATACTTGTGAAAACATAATTGTGTTATAAAAAGAATTTAAAGTTATGAAAATTGGGACGCCCCCCAATAAGCACTTATTTAACGTTATTAGCTCGACACTTGATTTTTCTTCAAGGTTCCCCTAGTGGGATGATTGTGGGTTCAAATAAATTAAAACATAACTTCTCATCTTTGATTCTAACCTTAAGGACGACTTTTTCTAGTTCAATAAGCATTCGTGAGGTCTTCATGAATGGTCGTCCCAAAATGAGAGAAATGGCAGGATCTTCCTTGATGTTTATCACAACGGAGTATAATGGAATATTAATTTATTGTTAGAACAATGTTTGAGTATCGGGGTTTGTTATCGTCTCCACAGGGAATATGTGATATTGCCGCCGTTCGACAGTTGTTAAGTTCTTGACTTATAGTAACAAGGGGGTTTTGGTTTTTCGTTACGGTAGCTTGCATAAAAAGAAGTAATAAATCGCGGTAAAAGTTTTGGTTTTACGATTTGAGAAATATTGTCAAAGTTAGGGTTCGACGATCACTTTGCATGTATATGTTCGATCAACAAAACTCATAAACTCCATTAGATGGTAAACACATTCACAATATCCTCCCAATGTGATTATTTCTAACACACATTGTGGTTTTTCCCATTTTGATCCATTGTTGATTTCTCACACAATCTATCAAAATGACAACTTTTAGGTTTTAACATTTTAGTGAACAACCACATTCAAAACTATCTCTAGCTCAAGAACATAGATGGATGAAAACCTAGGTAAAGAGTTGGAAGTCACTTTTCAATAATAAACCAACACAAAGAGTTATCAATAAAACAAGGTTTTCACCATACATTCATCATCAAAGAGTTTACAAATGAAGATCAACCCATTTACATACAAAGCTTATGATCATCTACATCTAACCTTGACAAAATGAGGACTTAGCTACTCATTTTCATGGTAGCTTGCACAAGAATTTTCGGAAGAAGGTTAATCAACATCCGAGTCGAAGAATCGATATTGGATGGGATTCCACCTTCTTTTTGGGAGATCTTGTTAAGAGATGAAGAATAATGAGATATTGGGTTTCTAGGTCACAAATATCACCTTGGAGCAAAAAGAAAATAAAGCAAATGAAAAAAAGATATTTTACAAAAAGTAGCCCATGCTACTTATAGAAAAAGAAATGTTGTATTGTCTTGCTCGCTAGGCGAGCAGAATGGTTCACCTAGCGAGCCCTTCGCTGCTACACTCACTCCAGCGAGTTTTGGACTTTTTGATTCTGGAAGCACTCGCTACTTGCTCGCTGGAGATTTGCCTAGCGAGCAGTTCGCTACCTGCCTCGCTCCAGCTAAATCAGCTTTTTTTGCTACTGCCCAAGTCTGCGAGTGTTCGTTGGCAGCTCACTACATGCTCGCCTAGCGAACAACTCGCTACCTTACTCGCCAGTGATTCGCCTAGCGAACTTGCTTTTGCTTGCATTCTTTCTTGATTCCTTTGTCATCTTTCTTGTGTCTTCCATTTCTACTCTTTCATGCCTGATTACTGCATAATAACACACAGATTAAAAGTACCAAGATCATCTCACATAATATTGCAAATTAACAAAAGCAATGGTGGTTTTGAAAACTTTCTGGACAAAAAGGAGTGAAAGATGCCCACATCTGATAGCTCAAATAATCAAAATTGGGCATCTAACAACTCTCCCTAACTAGATTTTTGCTTGCCCTCAAGCAAAGTATGCCTCTTGAAGAACAAGAGGATTTGCTTGAAGAAAAAGGCTTCTCCGAAGTCAGATCAAATGGCTCAAACACAAGAGAATCAACTAGACACAAGTTCCCAATGGTTAGAACAACACAATACACAAGAATTAAAACCTTATAGCAATAAAAGAAACATGAATCAATTCACAACAATGTTATCCTGAATGAATCAACCTATCTCTCCTCTTCGAATAAGGATTGAAGAAATTACGTGTTTACAACCGCGGGACAATTTCACTCTCCAACAAACAATGCAAAACTCAATTCAATTCATACAATGTCTAACAATTATAAATGAAAATGCGGAAGCACGAAGATCACTAAGGTCTTTTT